CCCCTTTTTTGTGGGGGTTTTTGGTCAGCCGGCTTGAAGCGGACGCCGAAGCCGTGGAAGCGGATCGTGCGCACGTCGCTGGCCGCGACCCCTGGCCCTCTCGGGCGCCTGCGACCCCGTCGCCGGGCGCCCCGGCACCCCCCGCCCCTACGTTGGGCGCTGCGTCGAGTGTGACGACGGCGTCGGCGTACGGGCACGGCCTCGGGCCGGAACGTGTTCCGAGCGTCAACCTCGGCGGACCCGGTCCGCGCGAGCCGCTCCGGCGGCACGGAGCCGCTCTCCTAGGCGCCGACAGACCCTACGCGGGCGCTGAACGCGTCGGCTGCTCGCGGGAGCCCTGAAACGCGCGCGGCGGACGCCGTCGACGCTGCGCGCTCGGCCGACCGTCTCGGCGCGACGAGCGCGCTCGCCGTCGGCGCGCACGCGACGAGCTCGACCGTCTCGACGACGAACACCATCGTCGCGGAGGTCCCCGACCGCTACACGGACGTCGTCGCCGCGCCCACGGCCTCGCCTACCAGTTCGCGGAACGACGCTCTTTGACGACCTTCTCAAGCCCGGAGATCGACGACTAGTTCGCCGATTGCGAGCCGCTGGTCGGCTTCCGCACGTTTTTCATGATGCTCGAGCTCGCCGACGACGAGTTCGCCGCCGCCGCCGCCTCTGGGAGCTCGGCGCAAAAAGGGTGGGGGGTTTTGAGAGGGGGCGCCTCTTAGCCTAAGCCTATTAGAGACCAATTTCATAGGTACAGTAGCCTAGCAGTGTTGCTGAATTTGAGGCTTAGGGCATGGCTTGAGATTCCGCTCAGGCTACCCCAGTCGAGCTATACTCTGGCGCCGACGCAACAACACATCTTGACCGCCGGCGCCGCCGTGCTTGGCGTCTGCGCCTTCCCGCAGCTGTCGGCGTGCATCGCAATCACGCTCGCAGCCTTTTGGCTCGAGTCGAAGCTGCGCGGGCGTCCACGGGGTGCGGTCGACAAGCATGGGCCGCAGTCGGGCGGCTGAGCTGCTCCTCCTGCTCGCGACCACGACCAGCGCTTTATACACGGGCGCCGGCTTCCGCGTCGTGCGCTGCTTCCCGGAGCTGAGCCGCCGCGCCGCGGACGCCGCCGTCGCCGCCGGCCGCGTGCGGGTCAACGGCGAAACGGCGAAGCCGTCGCTGCGCCTGCGCAGCGGCGACACACTCGCGCTCGACGGCAAGAAACGGGACTGGGAGGCCCTCGCCGCGAAGCTCGAGGGCGGCGGCGGCCTCGAGTACTACGCGTACCACAAACCGGAGGGCGTGGCGTGCACGACGGACGCGAACGACCGGCGGTCCCTGCGGCGCGCGCCCGCGCTCAAGAAGCTCTTCGCCGGCGGCAAGCGCATCTTCCCCGCGGGCCGCCTCGACGTCGACTCCTGCGGGCTCGTGGTGCTGACGAACGACGGCGCCGCCGCGGACGCGGCGCTGCAGCCGTCGTCGAAGTTGGCGAAGGTCTACGAGGTCGAGCTCGACCGCCGCGCCGCCGACGACGACGTCGCCGCGCTCGCGGCGGGCGTCGAGATCGCGACGCCGCTCCAGCGCGGCTCGAAGGCCGAGAAGACGGGAAAAACGCTGCCCTGCGACGTCGCGCGCGGCGACGGCCGCGGGCTCGTGATCACGCTCGCCGAGGGCCGCAACCGCCAGCTGCGGCGCATGGCCGAGGCGCTCGGCTACGAGGTCACAGGCCTGCGGCGCGTCGCCTTCGGGCCCGTGTCGCTCGGCGACCTCCGTCCGGGGACGCTGCGGCCGCTCGCGGCGGCCGAGGTCGACGCGCTCCTCGCGCACAAGGACAAGGTCGCCAAGGCCAAGCGCGGC